CTACTTTTAAAAGGAGAAGGATATGAATTGTCTTAACACTTTATTTTCAGATAATATTTATTTTTAAATTCCATTTCTTATTATTTAAACCAGGGGTTGGAAAACTGTAACCTATGGCCCAATTCTGGCCTGTTTTTGTATATAAAGTTTTAGAAAAACTTCTAATGAAATATACCATGCCCATTAATTCAGGTGGTTCTGTAGCTGCTTGCACATTACAATGGCAAAGTTGAGTAGCTGAAACAGAGACTCTGTGGACTGCAAACCGTATTTACTATGTGGACCTTCATAGAAAAAGTTTGCTGACCTATGATTTAAACTATTCTAAGCTTTTCTTAAATGAGTAATATTTCTATATATTAAAAGAAAGCAAGACAAGGACAGGAAAGAAAAACAATGAGAAAAAGACATTCTTCTAGAATGTAAAAAGGCAAAACAGGCCATATACGGTACCCCTTGTCTGTAATCACAGAGTTTTGTAATCACCTCATCTCTACAAAAAAAAAGTCAAAAAATTAGGTGGGCATGGTGGCATGTGCCTGTAGTCCCAACTACACAGGAGGCTGAGGTGGGAGGATCACTTAAACCCAGGAATTTGAGGCTACAGTGAGCAATGATAGCATCACTGCACTCCAGCCTAGGTGATAGAGTAAGAACCTATCTCTAAATAAAAAAAAAAAAAAAAAAAAAAGGAGGACCAGGTGCGGTGGCTCAAGCCACTCAGCGGATTACCGCTGGGTGCAGTAATCCCAGCACTTTGGGAGGCCGAGGCAGGTGGATCACGAGGTCAAGAGATTGAGACCATCCTGGTCAACATGGTGAAACCCCATCTCTACTAAAAATACAAAAAATTAGCCGGGCATGGTGGCGCGTGCCTGCAGTCCCAGCTACTCAGGAGGCTGAGGCAGGAGAATTGCCTGAACCCAGGAGACAGAGGTTGCGGTGAGCCGAGATCGCACCATTGCACTCCAGCCTGGGTAACAAGAGCAAAACTCGTCTCAAAAAAAAAAAAAAAAAGGAAAAAAAAAAATAGCCAAACAAACACTGATTCCAAGTATACTTAAGAAATACTTGAAACTCTACAATAAAGCTGAGCTCTAAAATTCAGTATTGTCAAGAAGCAGACCTTAAAGAACATTTTATAAATGAAGTTCCTACAAGATGACTATTACTTCTCAAGTAGGAATGCACCATGAATATGGAACTTGGAAGAGTAAATTTAAGGAGCAGAAACATGGAATTTTATAACCTAGCAATGAAAGTGACTGAAACCACATTAGTCAGGCAAAATAAGCTGATCTCTCTAACTACAGGTAAAATAACATTCCAAACATTGAAAAATGTACACAATCAAAATTGTACATGGTAGGGGTTTAAGAAACCATTTCCCCTGCTAATTTTTGATGTTTACATGGAATGTTCTTCCAGCAGCAAATAACTTACCAATGATCTTGACAGATTGAAAATGATACATCTTTACCACAACATAAATTAATTCTCTCAATGGGAAATTGCTAGAACAGGCAAGGTGTCAGAAAGATTTCTTTAAGTCTGAGGGAAAGGAAATGATTCCATTTCTTCCAAACATTCTTACACGAAAAATAATAAACTCTCACTTTTAAACTGTCTTTATTTTCATGGGGTCCTAAGGCACCCGTTACTAATTGGGGCAGTCATAGTTATCTGGTGTTGGACATGAGTCAGTCCATATTACCTCAGGTATAAAACACAGCCAGTTGAGACTGCCCCCCATAATTCATACTCTACATGAATAAATACCATAGAAATACCCAGAAAAGAGGATTGTGGAATTACACCACACTCTCGCTCATTCCTTAGATTTACAACATAAATCTCAGAAAGTCAGTCTTCACAAAATAAAATACAAGGGAAACATGATGGTCTGTTCGAGGAAACGGACAAACGCCTAACACAAATGAAGCAGTTTGTCCTCTAGAAGACTGACCTTGATTCTGTTTCTAAAATACAAAGTCGAAAACCCCAAACCCAGGAGATGAACTGATTGAACACCATGTCATACATGTGCTACCACATTTAACTTTGATACAGAATCTGTATAATGGGTATTAGTGTCTTGCTCCAGGTAATACCATTTGGAAAGGAAGCAGTCCAGGCAGGAACTCTGGTTTATCTCCCATACCAATCCTGTCTTCAAAATGTTCGATCCTGATTGAACAGGGTGTCTGGCAACCATGAGTCCCCTGAGATTTCCCATAAAGAAAAAGGTCCCCTAATCAGAGCGACTAAGTTTGGGAAATTTACTAAATCCTCCCCTTGGAGACTACCAGTGCATATTAAAGCCCTGAATTAAAGAAATCCATTTAACTTTGTCTAACTCATCATCTCCCCAAACTTAACAGGAAATCCCTTTCCCCAATTAGTATTGTGTGAAATTAGTATTCTGAAACATACTTTGAGAAATACTACTGTAGTCACCTTGCACAATGGAAAATGGATGACAGAGAAATACATAAACTGTCAGAGATGATAAGCAGTTTTATTGATTGATTGATTGATTGATTGAGACGGAGTTTCGCTCTTGCTACCCAGGCTGGAGTGCAATGGCGTGATCTCGGCTCACTGCAATCTCCGCCTCCTGGGTTCAGGCAATTCTCCTGCCTCAGCCTCCCAAGCAGCTGAGATTACAGGCACGCACTACCGTGCCCAGCTAATTTTTTGTAATTTTAGTAGAGACGGGGTTTCACCATGTTGACCAAGATGGTCTCGATCTGTTGACCTCGTGATCCACCCGCCTCGGCCTCCCAAAGTGCTGGGATTACAGGCTTGAGCCACCACGCCCGGCCCCGATAAGCAGTTTTAATCATGGCTAAGGAGGTGACAGTCTGGTTCCAAGTGGCTTCTCTGCTCTTTGATTCAACTAAAATATTGAATAAGACCCCCAAAACCCTAGTCCCTGCCTACCTCCTCAGTCTGTCTTACACTCTGCCACCTGGCCTGCTTTCAGTACTGGGGACCTGCTGGGCTTTCCCCCTCCACGGAGCCTTTGCAAAACATTCCCCCTGTGCATTGCTTCTTCTTTCCTCTTCACTTAGTTGACTCCTATTTATCTTTCAAGGGAAGCCTTTCCTGACTGGGTCAAATGCCTCTCTGAATGCCCTCATATCACAGAGTTCTATATAGCACTTGCCATGATTACAGGGTTATATTTATTTGTATATTGATTTGATTAGTGATGGTCTATATTCCCACTGGGGGAAGAGAGCTATTTCTCTGTTTCTCAGACAGCACAAAGACGAGGGACCTCTTCTACCATCTCTACTCAGTCTTGCCCAAGGAGGAACGTGACTTCATGAAGCATGAACTAGGGAGGAAGTGCTGAGCACACTCCGCTCACGGCCCAGGGTGCACTCTGGTCAGCTCAGGAAGTAAGTACAGTTTGAGAAACAAATAGAATTCTGGGAAGACATCCTAGGAAGCCCAATTGTTACAGACCCAAGCTCCATTCTGCAGTTTAGCTTTATGTAGTAATACAGCTGATATTTTGTTCTTCATCTCTGACTGTTGTTTTATTTTTTAATCATTTCCACACTTGGGAGAGGAACGTAAGAGTGATCTTGTTTGGCCTCTAGAAAAGCCAATGTCCTCCAACAGGTGTAAGCTCCTGAGGTCAGGGAGGAGGGCCTCTCTCTGCTCACCTCAGTAGCTCAAGTTTCTGGTACTCAGGAGACATTCAAAATGCTGTTTTGGGCAGGCTGGTCTTGAACTCCTGGCCTTAGGCAATCCTCCTGCCTGAGTCTCCCAAAATGCTGGGATTATATGCATAAGTCACGGCACCCAGTTTAAATACTAGTTTCTTGATACATGTAACTCTACCAAGGTTTTCTTATTAACATTTTCTTTTAAGCAACTGAATTTTGGCTTCAGATTACAGGCTAATCCTAATGGTGGAACTGAGGATAAAGCTTTAAGCAGAGTTGATCCAAATCAGAGAAGACGGTATACTTAAAAGGATGGAAGCCCCTTTAAGGGGGAACCTGGAGGAGAGGAGCTGAGAGTGCTGGGTAGTGGACATCCATATGTGTGTCAGGGAGACTGAGTAGGTAAGAAGAGGCAAATAGAGACGGACTGGGAAACAGAAAATGGATTACTTGATTGGTGAATAGGTGGGTTTAAAGAAGCAAGTGAAAAAGCTAAATTGAAGGGCAAGTTCCCACTATCTATAGAAAAAGCTGGAGATGACACAGACTTCCCCTTTTTCTCAAGGCACTGTAAAAACAATGAAGTCTGGCTCAGGCATGTAAGCCCCAGCACTTTGGGAGGCTGAGGGAGGCAGATCACGAGGACAGGAGATCAAGATCATCCTGGCTAACATGCTGAAACCCCATCTCTACTAAAAATACAAAAATTAGCCGGGTGTGGCAACATGTGCCTGTAGTCCCAGCTACTCAGGAAAGTGAGGCAGGAGAACTGCTTGAACCCAGGAGGCAGAGGCTGCAGTGAGCTGAGATCACGCCACTGCACTCCAGCCTGGGCGACAGAGACTACGTCTCAAAAAACAAACAAACAAGCAAAATAAACAACAGTCTCCTGGAAGAAAAGTTATCTCTAAACTTCTCTAAGACTGTTTAATAAATTATGTTTTCTCTAAAGGACCAATTATTTTAACTGTTTAGAAGACAATATGTTCAAAATATGTTTAGTTGTAAATCAGGTGATGAAATACGTATTATTGTAAAGGCAATTAAACATTTTGTGTATATGTATATGCACAGTAAAAATGGGAAATATATTGACAAAAAAATCTACAAAACCATTATCACATGCATATTAACAACAATCTATAAATATGTCTTCAATAATAAACAGAAGAATAAATCAATATACAGAGACTAGTGAAAGAATCGACAACGTGGCGGGTCTGTGTCATCATCTGTCCCCAGCCCCTTTCTGCCCCAGCACACTGAACACACTTTCTCTCTCTCCTCTCCTCCTCAAGGCGGTAGGGCCAGGCCACTCACCTGTTGGAGTGCTGCTGCGGAATGAAGAGGAGGGGGTGATGGGAGGGGTCACGGGGGGAGTAAGGCTTCCACTGCTGTGGCGTGGGGGAGTGGACACATTCCCTCGAGACACTGAGCTGGACAGGGTCAGTGAGAGCTTCGGCTGAATCTTCTTCTTTAGGGACTCCTGCTCTCGGCGGGCAGCATCTGTCATGAATCTGAAACAACAATGGAAGAAGGTAAGGAACCCGGGCCATGTAGAGAGCCAGAGGACTTACGACACTCATTTGAGTTTCACAGATGCTCAACCTGGGAATGGACCTTGGCCACAGGTCAGTCCCAATTTCAAAACCTCAAAACAACTCCCCTTTTCCAATGCAATGGAATTATTGTCTAGCTTGTTATTTCTAAGATTCCTCAAAGTCAGGCCCATTTCTTCCCCAGGCCAATCCTCCTTGCCAGGAAGCTTATACCCACAGAATACACCTGCACCCACAGTAATGCTTTCAGTTACAAGATTTCCTCTTGGAAGGTCCGTTCTCTTTCTTTCCACCCATAGGAAGCCCACACATCCTCAAAGTGCCCCAACCACTCCTAAGTGGGCAGTGCTTCCTTCATCTGCAGGTTGCTGGCATTTCTTGTTTGTACCACTTAACTGCCACCTAACATATATCCCTCATAAAACTCTCTTTTTCTTTTCAATTTGTATTACTTTGGTTCTCATATTGTTATCTGGGTTTAAAAACTTTTCTTGGCTAACTGAGGCCTTGCCTCCCTCGCCAAGAAGGCAAGGATTCTAGTCCCCAGTTCCTAGCACACTGCCAGGCCCATCTCAGGGAACATGAACAGAACTGCATACGTCGGCCCAAGATTCCAGAGGAGGGGAAAAGAGCAACAAGGAGGAAGGTCAGCGCTAATGATCTGTGTATGTTCTGATCTAATTACTCAGAAAGGGAAAGGTGACTTTTCCCGATACTTTCACTTTGGAAACTTGAGTTATTCTTCCAACGCTTCTCTGATGTTGGTAATATTCAAACTCTGTTCTTTTTCCACTGTATAATCTACCATTTCATAAATTCGGATCACATGAGATTCTAAACAATCTATGAAATGGTATCTCCTACCTAAAGAGCATTCTTTTCATGTTGGCAGGCAAACTTTATCAGCTGCATTGCTGAAAACTGCCACAGAAAGCATAGTAAACAGTGTATGAAAGCATTCAGATAATAAAACCACAGCTGTCCCCACCACCTAAGCTAAGAAACAGAACATTCCATGCCCCTCAAGGCCTCTCTCCAACACCTCCCGCATCAATTATAGTTTGGCTATTTCAATATAATTTATCATAAACTCACTGCAGTACACTTAAACATGGTATGTTACCCAACCTATTTCACATTTTGTCTACAAAATTCCTTAGTATTTTTCCTCATTACACGATGAAGTTTTGGAAGTCAACAGATAATGCCTGGTGAAAGCTTAGAGTCGATGAAACACCCAAAGAAACAACAGTAATATTGTTACAGTGTCTTAAAATTTCTGTTTTAAAACAGTGTCTTAAAATTTCTATGTTTAAGACACATGGATAGCACATTTCTTGAATGATTCTTGCAATACGATCCAGATATATAAACTGGATTTTATATGCTGAACTGAGCTTAGTAATAGAGCTTTGCTTTGAGCTCTTAGGTTTTGTGCTATAGGATAGATAGGATAGGATAGAACAAAGGCAAAGAGAATTGTTTGCACCTGATAGCCAGGTACTCATTTATTTTCAGATGCAAAATTGGTTCTATTGTCCTTAAAATTTCTTTTTTCCCTCTTCATAAACTCTACTAAAAATATAGACTGGCAGAGAAAAGGAAAAACCAGTGCTTTCTTTTATTATTCTAAGAAGAACTGCTAACTAGGACGGTGCTGCACGTCTCACACTGGGGTATGCAGTGTGCCAGGGAGTGGCAAAGCCACGGGATAAACAGGCTGCTGCTTCCAGGAAGGCAGATTGTTCTCAAGGGTAAGTAGTGCAAACTAAGGTTTCAAATAACAAAATAAACATGGACATGCTTATGGGGGTAGAAAAATTTTTTACATCTTGCATTTTAGTTAAGAGCATGGTATTTGGAGTCAGGCCAGGGTTCAAATTCAGGCTGGATTACTATGTAATTCTCAAATTACACAGTAATTTGTAATTCTCAAATTCTCAAGTCGATAAACTTCTCTAAATCTCAGGTTTACTCTCTGTAAAATGGGAACAAGAGAGTAGGTAAGGAATTAACATACATCTTTGCCCTTTCTGCATGGGAGTCTGATGTTTGGCTAAATTTGGTAACCTGCTAAGATAGTATGTCAACTATGTTACTAGGCAACACTACCTACAGAAGAATGACCTCTGACAGGTGAACTGCACAGCCTGGGAGGAACAAGGAACCACCTGTACCTATCTGATAGGAAGCCAAGAATCCCGATTTGGACTTCGCAAGCATGGTGATCTTTTAGCTCGGTATGGCCCTTGTAGAGAACTGGGGAGTTATGCCCAAAGAGTGTTTCAAGAGCTTTGGCCCCCAAAGGGCATGAGGTCCTACCAGGATAGCTTCCCCTCCTACCTCTCTGAACCTCAACAGCCTCCCGTGTCCACTGCTGCAAGGGTTCCTGCAGCAGGCAGCCTGTCCTCCATCCTCTGAACAGACCCAGTGTCCTATGTGGCCCATGGTCATCTGTGAGTCTGAATGTTCACAACCTAAGAAGGTGACCTGCTGGTAGATGGGGCAATAACAGTTTCAACTTCAGAGGACTGTTGTGAGGATAAATGAGGTAACTGGCCTGTCATGTAGCAAGTGGTTCAAAATGTAGAAGCTGTTATTACATAAAGCATTGTAATATGGCTATGTCGCTATGGTTTGTCCACCTTACTCACAGTGTATTTGAGGATACACTACGCCCCTGGCTCCAAAAGCACTGAGCACACAGGTGCTTTGTGTAGAGCAGAAATTCTATTTGTGGAATGGCTGAATGGAGTAAGCCCAGAGGGTGCATATCCAGTGTGAGAGAGAGGGAGGGAGAGTGAGACAGAGAGAAAAACGCTTCTCTACATCTTCTAATTCATATATATGTTGTGGTTCTTTTTTTTTTTTTGAGATGGAGTCTTGTTCTGTCACCCAGGCTGGAGTGCAGTGGCATGATCTCGGCTCACTGCAACCCTTGCCTCCCAGGTTCAAGCAATTCTCCTGCCTCCTCCTTCTGAGTAGCTGGGATTATGGGTGCATGCCACCATGCCTGGCTAATTTCTTTTTGTGTTTTTAGTTGAGACAAGGTTTTACCATGTTGGTCAGGCTGGTCTTGAACTCCTGATCTTGTGATCGACCCACCTCAGCCTCCCAAAGTGCGGCATTACAGGTGTAAGCCACTGTTCCTGGTCATTTTTTTTTTTTTTTGAGATGGAGTCTCACTCTGTTGCCCAGGCTGGAATGCAGTGACATGATCTCGGCTCACCTCTGCCTCCCAGTTCAAGTGATTACCCTGCCTCAGTCCCCAAATAGCTGGAACTACAGATGCCCGCCACTATGCCCAGCTAATTTTGGTATTTTTAGTAGAGAGAAGGTTTCACCACGTTGGCCAGGCTGGTCTTGAACTACTGACTTCAAGTGTTCCACCTGCCTTGGCCTCCCAAGTGCTGGGATTACAGAACTCACATCTCTTACTGTAAAATACTCTCCTACAGCTCAGATATAACGCAACAACTATAAACAACCATAACAACACTCACACACATAAACCCCACCTTCACCCTCACATGAGTTTGGCCAGCTACAGACAGTAATCTGCATTTGGGTTATATGTTCTAAGGGCCTTCTAGAAGCAAGAACAAGGCACCCATGTTAAAAGCCTTAAACATGAAACACTCTTGGAGCCCTGTTGCCGACCCTTCCTCCTTCAGTTCTCCCTCCTCTCTTAGATTGGTGTTGTGAACTTGGTCATACAGCCTATAAATCATGGTAACCTTTCCATATCAAAGTACACAGCTGTACAATTTCTTCTAGTGACAACTACACACACCCCCACCACCTGCCCCCCCACAAACACACACAGAGGAACGCCACATAAACGCTATGGGAACCCGGGTTAAAATGGGTCCGTGTCTCCCCTGCATTACCATGCTGCTCCTCTTCCTCCTCCCTTCATTAATCATGACTTAACCCATTTACTGAGACTTAGTAAACTGAAGTTTTTGAGCAATGCTCAATCAACACAGCTGTCTGTTAAAAAGTGGGTAGATTCCCAATGGCAAGGAATCATTTGGGGAGATAAGAGTATGTAAAGGAGCCGAGGAGGCACAGCAAAGGCTGTGATTCTGGCCAACAAATGAGGATTATGTTCCCCGTTTTACCAAATGTCAGGGCTGGAAATGTTTGCTGTACTCCCAAGGCTGAGATCAGGTTAAGAGAGTCATGTCACTCAGTGGCCTGAGCTTTCCTCAATGAGTCTACACACTATTGGTGATCTTTCTGAAGCTCTCAGTAATCATGGTTGATGTGAATTTTCTTTTGGAGATGAGGTCTCACTGTCACCCAGGCTGGAGTGCCGTGGTGAAATTACTGAAGCCCCAACCTCCTGGGCTCAAGCGATCCTCTTGCCTAGGCTTCCCACGTAGCTGAGACTACAGGCATCCCCTCACCATGCCCAGGTAATTTTTTTTTTGTAGAGATGGTGTTCTCACTATATTGCCCAGGCTGGTTTCGAACTCCTGGACTCATGTGATCCTCCCACCCAAAGTGTTGAGATGATAGGCATGAGCCACTGCACCTGACTTACTGGGTTAAGTCAGATCATCCAGTGCAATGTTATAGTAACTGTGAAATGATGTGGTGTAACCTGTTTGAGGTCACTTAGCTGGTTAGTGGCAGAGCTGGTATCAGAGCCCAGTCAAGCTTTGGGACACTGTAATGGTTTTCCCAGTTGAAAGGGTTCAGGGAGCTAGAGTATGGGGCCCGGGGAAATGCAAGGAGGACCCCTCTGGCAGTTTATATGGGGCAGTGGGCAGCTGGGAGAACAAGAGGCTCATCCTCTAAATGTCAGTCAATCCTGCTGTATGGGACCACTGGTCTCCCAGTCAGGGGAGAGGGGTTCTCTAGATTGTAGCCCCACTGGGCTATGGTCTGGGGAAGGCTGGTTGTGCCCACCTCCTAGAATTCTCCCTGCTATGCAACGGTGACAAGGCTCT